ATTAATTCCCAAAAGGATGAACCCAAAGAGTCTTCTTCTTCTTCTAAGGGATAAAAACCACCAAATAAGCTCTTTAAGGTCACTAATAGAGGCTAAGAACATTTTGGGCAGGAAGGAAGTGATGGAGGTTAAAGGTATGCAAACCCTAGCCTCCCAGTTCACATAAATAGGGAGCAAAACACGGAATTAGGGTTAACCTGATCTAACGACCTGAACACCTATGTGTCATGTTGTGAGCCTTAAAATGGCCACATGTCTCCGCCTAAAGTCACGTCGTGAGACACTATCTCTCACATCGTGACTCTCTTAAATTTGGGTTTTTCATTCTTAATTTTTTCAAACATTGAAAGATTAACTTCACCAACTTTAAATAAGTGAGCCGATGTCTCACATGGCATTTAGGTCAACCAACTAGTCCACGTGGTGCTTATATGGCATCCACATGGATTTTTTATGTTAAATGTTATTCTCAAATATAAATATTATTTTTTATTTTAAAATCTCTCTCTCTCTCTCTCTCTCTCTCTCTCCCTCTCTCTTTTTCTCTCTCTCTTTATTCTCTCTCTCTCTCTCTCTCTCTCTCTCTCTCTCTCTTTCTTTCTTTCTCTCTCTCTATCTCTTCTCCTCTCTCCTCTCTCTCTATACTCTCTCTCTCTTCTCGCTCCCTATCGCTCTCTCTCTCTCTTTCTCCTCTTCTCTCTCTCTCTCTCTCTCTCTCTCTCTCTCTCTCTCTCTCTCCATACAACTCACCGTCCAACAACCACATAGTAGAGAATCTAGTAAGTCAAAACTTCATATGGTTTGTTAATGGCGACATGTCCGATTAAATGACATTGAACGTACATACGATCAACGACACTAATTCAGTAAGGGTATTTATAGATGTTGTAAATGTACTATTTGATGACGTATTGTATTTCATTGATTCTTTCCCTTGGAAAGTGTCTTAGTCTTGTAATTGATAAGGGTAGATAGAATAGATCTTCCATTGATGGATCTTTGGTTATGAAATGATTGTTGATGAGTGATTTTTTTAACAAGCATTCGTTTGTGTAGTTGCATTCAGGTTCAAATTCGATGGGTACCAGGACATTGGCGAACGGGCCGGATATCTGACGGGGGTAAGAAGAAATCTTGACACTCTTGTTCATTTTGATGTACTTCTCTTTGAAGATTTGTAACATCCGGACTCCCATGTATATTATTTATTTATATATTTATTTTTGTGATCTATTGAGAAACTCGACGATTTGGTGCCTCAACTCGTCGAGTAGAGGCGAATTGACCACGTGGGTCTAATAACCGACTCGACGAGTCAGAGAGTCGACTCGTCGAGTTGGCGCTGTGAGATGAAACCCTAAATCTCCGGGGTTGGGGCCTATTTAAAGGAACTTATGTCCTCATTTCCGCCTCACCAACTACCCAACTCCCCTGTGTGAAACCCTAATCGGCCATTGAGCTAAGAGAGAGTGGTAGAACTAATATTTGAGTGTTTTGGTGAATCTTTTGGAAGGGAAGAAGTGAGATACAAGAAAGGAACGAGGAGAAGCTGTGGGATCTAGTATTCTTTCACTTGGAGTTTCTGCTGGAAGGTAAAAGCCATCACCTTGCTCATCATGTTGTTTAGATCTTGTTAATGAGGAACTTTTGGGGCTTTTTCCATATTTCCTTGAGATTTGGTATGACTTGTGCTTTCCAAGCATTGAGACATCAGATCTGGACCTTGTGAGGTCCATAGAGGCTAAAGGTTCCAGCTTTATCCAGTCATAAAAGAGTTATTGTGCTTAAACACCTTAGTTAGAGCTTGTAGTGGCATTATGGAGTAAAATGGTCTTTTTCCCAATCCAAGAGTTAGAGAGGGTAAATAACTTAGTTTATTTAGAATTTGTGATTAAGGTGTTAATTAGAGATAATTATCATATGTGATTAGGCAGAGGCTAGATTCGGTGATTCGTGTTCGAGGAGTACACATTTTCTTAGCCTACTTACGAGGTGAGTCTTCTCACTATACTTACCATAAGTGGTATCTTTGTGCGACCAGAGGGTCATATGTGCTTATTTGAGTTATATGATAGTATGCATTTTATCTATGTGATATGTATGCTATATTTTGTGCTTACTGAGATAGGACCAGAGGGTCCAAACCGAGTTGTGGGACCGGAGGGTCTTCACTGAGATACTGGACTGGAGGGTCCAAACCGAAATGTGAGACCGGAGGGTCCTCACTGAGACACATGACCGGAGGGTCCACACCGAGACGCATGAGACCGGAGGGTCCATGCCGAGTTATAGCCGTGAGAGGCTTATTATTTGTGTATGTGGTATTTTGGGGAACTCACTAAGCTTCGTGCTTACCTTGTTATGTGTTTTGTGTTTCAGGTATGTCTTAGGACCGTGAGAACGCACCGACATGATTGTACACACCTGCCCGAGACTATGTTGAGGATTCTGGGATTTGACTTTTATTGTGGATTTATGTTGACTTTTGAGACACTTTTGGTTTTTATGAAATATTATAAAAGTTTATGTGTTTTAAAAATGAAAATTTTGGTTTGAAAATTTACGGTGTAACAAGATTTCTCGATCATGCAAGAAATTTTCATATACAAAGATTCTTCTTGGATTTTTTATCACAAGTTATCGTAATCTAAATCACAATTGAAGTAGAAAAAAAAAGAATAGTTTAAAAGTTATCAAAAAAAAAACTTTTGTTAATGGCGAGGAGATAAAATTGAGACTAGATTGGGGTTGATTTTTGGTTGCGGTTTGCAATTATGAGTTTTGGGAGTAACCCTATTAAGGTTTTGAAGCAAATGAAGATGAGTTGCGATGAAGATGAGAGGTGAAGAGTTCAGATGTTGATGAACTGTAGATGAGAATGAAGAGAGTTGTGGTGAGTGGTAAGAAGAACAAGCTTCTAAGTGCATCGAAGACTTCTTGGCGGAAGTGTGAGTACCGTAAGAAAAATAAACTTTACATTGAGCGTAAAGCAATCGAAGAACTGAATTCCCAGTAGTAACAGTATAGCGTGGAAGATGGTATGGACATTTGGTTGCTAACATGGTAGCTACATTAGCTTTGATTTCTTAAGTGACATGTTAGACGTGTTTAATAAGGTAAGGGTGACATCCATTTTATATTCTGAAAAGGAAAAAAAATAACCTAAGGGATTGAAAAAAGCCCAAATTTCCCTTGGTCTTTATTCCCTTTCATAAAATTATGTTTTACCAAGAATTACACTTTTACCTACCACTACAAGGAAAATGGTCATTAGCGGCGACAAAAGTCGCCGGTAATAAGTCCAGTTGTCGTTGATAATAGCAATAGCGGCGACGCGACTTTTGTCGGTAATAAGTCCAGTTGTCGCTGTTTATTAATTATGTAGTTGGAAAAAATGAATACTTGGGACAAAAACTTAATTACGAAACTTTTTAGCAAATAATCACCACAAAACCAAAGTAGATTGTTTTACCTGTGATGGTTGTGATGGTTGCGAAGGCTGTGGAATCGGCGGGAGAGCGGAAGATTTACGGCCAATGCCTCTAATATGGCCACGTCGCTCTCCTAATACTTTCTCAAACGCAACTCTTTCTTGAGCGGGAGTTAACTGACTTTCACCTTGAGTTTGTTCTAACAGCCCTTCAACTAACCGATTCTGTAACTCCCAAAAGTGAGTAACAATTAAGTATAATAAACATTTAATTATATGATAAAATTATAATTAAATACTTACATATTGTTGTTCCGCCTCAGCAGTTAACAAATACACCATTCTTACGGCATGAGCTTTGCGAAACGTTTCCACTCTCTTCAGGTTCTGTTTAACTTTAAAATTAGATTATATTTTAAATAAATAATACATGTATCGTACGTTACCTTCTTATAGCAAGTACTACTATACGAGCTCGACCCCCCACGATTCACATTTGTTTGCATTTCACAGATTTTTTTGTTCCTTTCTGAAGCAATTTTGTGTTCGTCCGTTTGAAAATACTCAACTGCCTTCGCCCAGTTATCCACTAGCATACCCTCCGGAGGATTGGCTAATGCTCCCGGGATATCATCATACCCTCCAACTGACTTAAAATATTCTTTTGCGTCAGCTTTACGTTCTCGATAACCTTTTAACAAAGCTGCTTGAAAACTCTCTGTCAACAGATTAGCTTGTACATCCTGGTACATCTGATAAGACAGGATATCTCATCGAACGGTTCAGATGTAACAGAGGAGGAAAGCGCGGATTCAGGTGACAACTCTTTAGCGGCGACACTATTGCCGGCGACATTGGTTTTTAGCGGCGACAATATCTAGAGTCGCCGGTAAAGCCCCTTGTCGCCGGTAATAATGTCGTCGCTAAAGGGTATATTTCTTGTAGTGTACATCATAATTACAAAATCACTAATTAAGTTTATTCTAGATATATATTTTTTTTACATTAATATCATAATTACAAAATCAGTAATTAAGTTTATTCTAGATATATATATTTTTTACATTAATAACCTCTTTGAGAAGTATGTATTCTTCATAAAAGACTTTCTTCACCAACCAAATTCTTATGATCCACATATACACATCAAAAATAAAAAAAGAAATTTGAAAAATAAAAGAAAATGTGTGAAAGAGACCTTGGTTTATACTAAATAAGAAAATAATATAATATAATATAATTATATATATCATCTTAATTCATTTTCAGCTTCATCTATTCATCTTCCACACACACTTTTTGCAATCATCTCTCTCAAGTGTGCGTAAAGATTTGCCAAGTCAATAGATGATTAATTTATTGCGTTCACATGATGGACCATCGAAGAAGAAGCCCTCCAAGAAACTCCATGGATGAACTCCCATGACAAAATCACCACTGTTCCACTTCCGCACCATCTGCAGATCCTTCTAATTTCATCTTTTATATATATGTATGTACATACATGCACATGTATGTATATATATGCATCAAACCCTAGTTAGGTTTCTGTAAATAAGCTTCTTCGAAAATGGACTCCATTTTCAATCTTGAAGAAACTGAAAGATCCAGTAGGCTTCGACAAATCATGGAAACGTTTGGTTTCACTTACGTCTGCCTCTGGTCTCACTTTCCCAATCCTTCCAAGTACATCTCTCATGCTAACTGGATTGTTTTTGTATTCGTACATACACACATACATACACAAAATACAAATGTTGGTATGGATGTATGTAGTATGTATGTATGTATGTATGTATGTATGTATGTTGTAAGCATTTCTCTGTTCTGATAGCCATGCAAAAATCGCAGTTGTCTGATCTTCATTGACGGAACTTACAAAGAAGAAAACAAGCAAGAAAGCTCATCATCTGGGAGTCTAGCCATGAGGTCATTTATTGACTACCAGAAGTCAATTTTCTTGATTGACGATTACAGTGGGTAAGAACAAGAAAAAATGATTTTTCTTTCCTATAATGAGTGTTATTTGAACTTAATTATATGTTTTCTGACAATCGGTTAATTAATTAATTTTTTTTTTGTATATAGAGGTGTTCCAGGGTTAGCATTCATGCACAATCTACCATACATGGAGCGTAAAGGGTTGGAGCTTTTAAGATTGGCATCGAATCCAGCACAATTACAATTTTATGAAGTAATTATACTTTAAACTGATTAAGTTTTTATCATCTTGATGGGAATTAATTTATCTTGATGCATGCATGGAAGATTTGAAGCCAGCTAATCTGTGTATCCCTACTTTTACTTGCAGGAAGCTAGGATTAAGGTATGCAAAGTGTGTATTTTAAGCTCAATATTCGTTCCATTTAGCTCCTTTCCCGGCACTTTCTTTTCGGATACAAAATGCTAGTTGCCCTCTCTTGACTTCTTGATCATACTGCATGCATACACTTACACTCATGATGACAAATTTCCATTGCAGACTGCAATTTTTATGGGGTGCAAGAATGGTGAGATCGAGCTTGGCATGTCCAATGGGTCCTCCCTGCAGGTAAGATACTAATTTAATTCTTAGACTAATGGTTCTCATCTTCAATGGCATGCACCCTCGAGCAAAATCGATAACTTGCTATTCCCATCCTTTTCTATTTTTAACTCTCTTCGTGGTTTTTAATGTAGACTAACTTCGAAATTGTGTCGAAGAATCTGTTTCCTGGCGATTTCCCTCAAGAATTGCTTCCCCAACCAGTTGTTCAAGCTCGACCTTCATCTTCTTCTTCATCTCTTAGATCATTATCCATGGACAATAGCACCGAGCACTCACCTTTTCTCTTCAACATGCTTCAAACAAGTTCTTATATGCCGGAAATATATCCTATTGAAGAAGCATCTTTGGATCGACAAACACCATCTTCTTCAGCAATGAGATCAGAAGACCCTCTTCAACATGCCCTATATCAAATTAGAACCAATAAGTTGATACCTTACAGAGAACATGAAGAATCTGTAATGACACAAGCAATTCTTGCAGCCATTTCGTCTTCTTCTTCTCCATCTTGTTCTTCCTCTTACCATCTTCAAGCCCCTCGAGTTGCTACTGCATTTAAGAGATATCGATCATGTTTAGGGTGTACAAAACAACGAGTTCAAAGTCGCCAGAATCTTAATAGAAGATCGCTTTCATTCTTTCGAAATCTAAGTGAGGCTCGAGCCCAACAAAGTCAAATGATCCAAACAACCCGACCTACAAGCAATCAACTTCATCACATGATAGCAGAGCGTAAAAGAAGAGAGAAAATCAATGAAAGCCTCGAAGCTTTGAAATCACTACTCCCTCCGGGGTCGAAGGTATGTCCTTCGTTTATATCATTGATCATCATCTTGTACCGCATCATATTCATTTCTTTGCCCATCAAGTTAACACAACACACGATCATACATTCATTTCATATCATGTCAAAAATTAGCACGGAGTCCAAAGAAAATGGTAAATGTTTTTTTAACTTATATGATTTTATACTAAAAGTTTAAAAACTTATATTAATTAATGCATGTCATCTTCCTACTATACGACCAATGAGGGCGGAATTCGGAGAATGATTATGTATATGTACGCTCATTTCTTAAAACTCTTCATGTAGCATAAAAATACAAGGTTAACAATATTTTCAATGGTTGTATATGCGAATTCTTTGCTCCATATGAAAAAACATTTATCCAGATGGTATATATCACTTGATAACGTCTTGGTTTTCTATTCAAGCTAATGTAATCTTAATACAAGAAATATCATTTTGAAAACTTTGGCTTTAGGAAACCTAATAAAATATTATAAAACTCATTAAATCAATCATTTATACAAACTATAAACCATATTTTAAAATTTCATGGTTTAATTTAGTAATAAATATTTGTTGATCATTTATTTTTTATGAGATTGAGATTCCAAAATCAGTAAATTGTAACTGATATTCTGTTTTTTTGGCTCTTAATACAAATAGAGAAATTAAATATTCTTCTATTTTTTATTCCTACAAATCCTTGTACCCAATTAAATAGTGACATGTGTAACATTTAATACTCATTTAATGATATTTTAGTATACCAATATGACACGTATCATCATTTCTGTTTTTTTGGCTCTTAATACAAAAAAGATCATTTTGAAAACTTTTGCTTTAGGAAACCTAATAAAAGATTATAAAACTCATTAAATCAGTCATTTGTATAAATTCTAAACCATATTTTAAAATTTCATGGTTTAATTTAGTAATAAATATTTGTTGATCATTTATTTTTTATGAGACTGAGATTCCAAAATCAGTAAATTGTAACTGATATTCTGTTTTTTTTGGCTAATGAACTTTAGAAGGACAAAGCATCAGTACTATCAAAAACAAAAGAGTACATAAATTCTTTAAAATCTCAAGTTAATGAGCTTAACAGAAGAAACAAGATTTTGGAGGCTGAGCATTCTAGGAAAGAAGCACATAATCAAGATTCCGGTAACATCTCCGGCGAGAGACTAACAGTCAGAATCACGGACATTGGTGAATCAACTTCGGAGTCACGAGTCATAGAATTGGAATTGAATGTCAGAGGGGACCTCATTCTTGTGGATTTGGTGGTTCGTGTGTTGGAATTCATCAAACAAGTAGAGAATGTAAGTGTAATGTCAGTAAATGCTGGGACACAAAGGACGTTGGAGACAGAAGCTTTAACGAATCGAGTTGTTTTGAGATTGAGAATTCAGGTATTTTTTTTATGTTGCATGTAGAGGTTTGGTTAATGGAAATAATGATATTTCATATACAAATAGAATATTAAAAGTGATATATTGTACATAAAAGAAAACTCCCTTTAGTAGATTTTTATATCACGGAAAATAGTTTCAAACACAATGTTTAAGAAGATATGATATAAGTCAGATAAGGAACTCATGAGCCAAAATAGAAACCGATAGAAGTACTATGCTCTTAGTGGTTCATACATACATACTATTATGTTAACCATGCATTCAGTACTATTAGTCATTTAACAGTCATTCATTTATTTTTTGGCACCATAAAATTAGAAAGTTTCCTGTGATTAAAATATGTGTATATGTTTTTTAAAGATTGATGACAAAATATGAACATTCATGTATATCATTTAAAATCAATAATTCAAAGTAGGTAGTTTCTTGGAACATGTTCATTAAGCTTTTTTGACAATTCAATTTTGGGAATCAGAAGATAAGCTATATAATGGGGTTTTAACTTTTAACTTTTAACCATCGAATTTGGCTTTATTATAAAGCAATAGACATTTTTATGAAAATAAAGATAAGAAAATATTTTATTTAATAAAAGTAATAAGAAAATTGATGTCCACCTAATATGATTATAAATTTTAAGAATATTTAATGTAGGATCATTTGTATTTATTTTTTAAATATTCGGTATTTAATATGTTATATTATGAACTATTTTCTCTCTTATACTTGGCTTTTTATTGTAACAGAAGGCGAATCAAGAGCGACTCCAGAAGCAGCAGCTGTCGAGGCGCTGCACATCTGTGCCACCATGATCGTGTCACCATTATCTTTTCTATCGCGTGGGGCTAGTAATATGATGTGCACAATGTTAAAAAAGCTAACAAAAATGTTTATTTTGAAACATTATTAACGTGGAAAAGTGAATAATGTTTATTTTAATATGAGATTCAGTAGAGTTTGATTGTGATCAACAATAGCGGGGTATTTTTGGAATTTTATTGAGTTGTAGAAGGGCAATTTTTCTTTAACTATGTGATGCTTGTTGTTTGTTTAGAATTTATAAACAATATAAATCCATCAATTTTTCATGTACTGATTAAAGATACTGTTAAATATTGTAATTATATGTTTGTGTTTTATGTTTTATAGAGTATGGGGTTGTATGTTCTATAGAGTATGGGGTAGTTTATTTAAATTCATTGTATTATATGTATTACTTGTGAGACCGATGTGTTATATGAGTTAATTTAAAAAAAAAAATTAAATATGAAGGTCTAAATAATTAAAAAACATTGAATTTATAAGAAAATAAAAAAATAATGAATTATTAAAATTGAAATGTTTTTCATTTTTTAAATTTAAACAAATATTTAAATAAATAAACAGAAAAAACCAATAAAGTTTAATTTAAATTTTTTGAAATTAGAAGTTAAGCTCATTAATGAAATTGATATTCATTCATTATTATATTTATTACAATTATTATATTAAAATATTATATGGAATTTGATAAAATAGTAAATTCAATAAAATGACATGTGGAAAAAAAATTAATTCAATATTACCACAAATTGACATTTGCCAAATTGAAGGAGAGCATGTCATATGACAAAAAAGTTCTTTATTTATTAGGGAGGATTGAGATAATACGTCACTTTGCTAACCATAACGGGTATTTTCACAAATCTATCACTGTATCGAGCCATACTAAAACTCTTTCGACCTAACCCTTTCACAACGCAAAAAAATTTTGTTGACCTCTCTCCTCTTCGGCCATGAAAACAATTTGCTCAGCCCTATCACTGTTGGATATATATATATATATAATAAGATATATATATATATATATATATATATATCTATATATATAATATATTATATATATATATTATACATATTTCCAGTATTTTTGTTGACCTCTCTCCTCTTCGGCCATGAAAACAATTTACTCAGCCCTATCTCTCTAATAAACATTATTAGAATATTTTAGGTTTGAAAGATAATAACGGAAAATCAAATGTTTGAAGAATAAGATGTTGTAACTCTTGCCGTTGACATGGAGTACTTGCTGAAAGCAAGTTGAACCATCATGATTTAAGATTGCACATTTAGCTCATATGTGGAGCATCATGAACATTGTTGGCTCATCTTAGGTCATTGGACCATCATGAACATGTTGATGGATCATCAAGATTACACATGGTACATCATCTTTAATGATGACGCATCCAAGTCCTCAATGGCACATTCAGTTCGTTCTATGGCAGATCACGTTTCGTGTTTGCACATCTTCCAGTCCAACACACATTCCAACATTCAAGAGCAACTTATCTTGATCAATGACACTTCTAGAAGTTGATGTCATCTTAAAAGACAATGGAGCAACATGATGCTCATGATGCTCATCATACTCTCAATGTTGATCAAGAATGCCCAAGAGAAATAAAGACTCAAGACTTGGATGGAACTCTAACGGAATGCTAGCGAAATTGGAATATTCCATCCATTCTCTGTTAAGTAAGGCAAGGTGTTAACTGATGACTCGGTCATGATGACGTGTCAACACCTAATTATTAAGCCATGTCATGGGCTTTTCCAAAGCCTTCTAAAAGGCCCCTTGGGCTCCATTATAAAGTTGCTTAATTCTTACTTCTTCTTACTCATTCTGCTCATTTGCTATTTAGACTAAATTATAGAGAGCCATTTGAGTGTTTCTTACTTAGTGTATTTTCTATTTCAAACACTTGAAATTCAATCACTATGAATATGAATAGGAGGCACCTTTGAATCTTTAACTTTGAACATATAAAAAACGTTTTCATCATAAATTTGGTTGATTCACAAATCTTATTTTCCGCATTAATTTGTTGACCTCTCTCCTCTTCGGCCATGAAAACAATTTACTCAGCCCTATCATTGTTGGAAATATGTATTATCAATATTATCTATATTCTATCTATATATATATATATATATATATCTATATTAATATATATGATTTTCACTTGAAAGAAGTTGAGCCTTTGTCTATATCTCTCTAATAAATATTATTAGAATATTTTAGGTTGGAAAGATAATAAAGGAAAATCAAATATTTGAAGAATAAGATGTTGCAACACTTGTAGTTGACATGGAGTACTTGCTGAAAGCAAGTTGGACCGTCATGATTTAAGATGGAACATTTATATCATATGTGGAGCATCATGAATATTGTTGGGCTTATCTCAGGTCATTGGACCATCATGAACACGTTGATGGATCATCGAGATTACACATGGTACATCATCTTTAATGATGGTGCATCCAAGTCCTCAATGGAACATTCAGTTCGTTCTATCGCACATCACGTTTCGTGTTTGCACATCTGTCACACCCCAAAAATGGAACGGCGGAAACGTTCAGGGGTGGAGGACGTCATGTTTAGTATCACAAGATATGTATATAGTAAGCAAGTAATGAACAACCATTTCATTTAGAAAGAAAGTGTTTACAATGTGTGTGTTCACAAAACATAGAATTCATAAGCAAATAACAAAACAAGACTTGAAGCTATAATGCTCCATCTTCTGAATTCCCAGCACGAGTACCTGTCTAATAGGCTCCTGAGAATACAAGTTATTTGAAAGAGTTGATCAGCAATTAAGCTGGCGAGTTCATAAGATTTTAGCGATGTGAGTAAGTTGTAAAATGTTGTTGAAAATGCAGTTGTAAAATGTAGTAAGTTGTAAGTTCTGTTTAGAAAAGTTCGCATGTTCCTCTAGAAAATCCTATATTTCCTACTTTAATGAAAGATAAGTAAAAATGACTCTACAACCCTTTCTATGAGTACTAAATGGATACAAGTTATATAAAACTCAGAGTAAACAAACAATCGACTGTGCACATCTGCCCTAAGCCCACAACCAAACAAGGAACAGGAAGTAAGGCAGTAAGGCGGATTACACAATTCCATTGGTTGTTAGATCATTGTTGTATATAACCCTGGTGTATTCACTTGTTACTCATGGAGTTAATTGTAATGGTTCCTTTATATTAATGAAAAGATTCTTTAAGAAAACCCTTATTCTTATAATAAAATGATGACCACAGTGATTACTTTTATAATAACTTACTTTATACTGGATATATATGATCTAATATCGGATAGAAAGTTAATGGGTGAATCTGCCCTAAGCCCACAACAAACAAGGAACAGAAAGTAAGGCGGAAAGCACACATCCAACTACCTATTGGGTATTAATTATATATAACCAAGGTGTATAAACTAGGGTATTATAGAGTTAATCACCTAAGGTACTTTAAGTTTCACTGCTTTAATAAAATGGATTAAACCCTTTACTGGTTAAGTTTCTAGTTTTGTATACCAAAAGTTCTGATTTGGAAAGTATGTTTTGTACTAGAAAACTGTGCATTGACTCTGTGTCTTATGACTTGACCCATACCTGGTACCCTTATGATGTTAATGTATACTAAGCATATATATATCTAGAATCGAATAGAAAATAGATTGGGTGAATTCGTTCCAAGCCCACAACCAAACAAGGAACAGGAAATGAAGCGGAGAGCACACATCCTATTACCTGTCGGATCCTATTGGTATATATATATCCTTTGATGTATACATTAAGAAATCATAAGGTTAGCATTATGGTCCTTTCTATTAAACGTAGCCTTCTACCAAGGCATCTACTATTATGTGCTAGACTCGACTGTTCCGTTTGTCGTTTGTAAAAATGTAAGTTTTCCCTAGTTTATAACTATCTTAACTCGAAAAATATTCTGCATTTGACTTTCAAGTGGTACTGTCACTTTATGAAAGTAATGGGAAATGTAAGTACACAGTTGTCGTTTATAATGAAATGCGGATGTACTGATGACCTAAAACATGTTTGTTTTATTATGGTCATAATGTGAAAGCTAGTACCCCAACTAAACGCTCTCCCTGTCTAGAGATTAAGGGAACCAAACGCGACCTCTGCAAATTCTTGCAAGCCGTGTAATTCACATTCAAGTTATATGATTATGTATACCCAATATAACTATCACCTTTTGTTTAAAACAACGAGTTAGTGATTCATTGGTATAACTAGATCCTGTATGTTCTCATGCTATAGCAACCTAGTTTGTTTGTCTGTATGGTATTGTTGTTTTCTCATCATAGTATTCTTTCTGTATGTTATTGTTTGTTCTCATAATAGTATCTCTCTCTGTATTGTAGCATGAACTGAACCCCTAAACTATACCCTTATAGTTTTAGTAATTACTTGTACTGTTGTTGAAAAGACTCATTTTCTACGAAGTTATGTTGATACCATTAAAACGGAGTTTTGTTAAACTATAAAGTAACATAACTTTTAAAAGAGTTTTTGAAATGTTTTGACAAGTTATAAATGACATAAGTAACATTTTGAAAGATTTTTATTACAAACAATTACACAATTAACATTGTGTTCAACTTGTATCCCCCCCCCCCTTAAAACATTTAAAACAGTTAAAAGATTCATTACGGGGTATGAACTCACCTGATGTGGTGATTCAAACGGGTATGCGTGTAAGGATGAGAAGTTCCACGAATGAAGTCCGAGACAAGTAAAAATAAAAACACATAAATGACATATATGATTGAATATAGTGTTTATAAGCAACTATATGAAAGGAAACACCTTCCGGGACTAGGAAACACTTTGACCAAGTGTTGGAATCACATGTGATTCATCAAAGGGAAGTGAAATGGACACTAACATGAGTTTACTACCATGGGTTTACGGCCCAAGGGAGTTTACAGCCGTAAACTCATGGTCAAACATGTGCA